AAATTTTCATGCACCTGGGAAAAGCTAGGCTTAACCAGGTTGATCCAATTCATCCATTAATGCTTAACCAATTTCTTAAACAATTCATTGGTGGAATCGAGTGACGATCTTGGTCATAACAAATTAGACTGAACAAATTTGTTGTGTATTTTTTAGGGTTAATATATTTGTATGACCTGAACTTTGCACATAATAAACATCCTGGTCAATCTTTTCAATCTATAACATTCTAGCCCAAACTATACATCAAAGTAACGAAATTGGCCAAACCCGATGTTTGACCTTATCTTGGACGGTCAAACGCGTTGACTAACGGTCAACGTGCCATGTCACTGCCAAGTCAGCAACTTTCACTTAAAAAATTTATATTTTTCACCTATTACCGTTTTTATTTTTCATTTTGAACCAAAATAAGAAGAAAAATTAATTTCATTTTGAACCAAGAAAAAGAAAAATGGTAATAGGTGGAAAATATAAAAAAAATTAAGTGAAAGTTATTGATTTGGCAGTGACGTGGCGCGTTGACCGTTAGTCAACGTGTTTGACCATCCAAGATAACGGTCAAACATCGGGTTTGGCCAATTTCGTTACTTTGATCTATAGTTTGGGCCAGGATGTTATAGATCGAAAAGATTGGTCAGGATGTTTATTATATGCAAATTTCAGGTCATACAAATATATTAACCCTATTTTTAATGGGTTGTAGGTATAATATACTCCTCTATTATATATATATCAATTAAGAACTCTATTATTCACTATTATATCAATTTCAGTTTCCAAACATATTTTACTCAAATACTTTTATATAACAATGAATGACTTTCTAAATTTCGCTCAGTTTCAATGAAAGATGAGATGCATTTAATTGATGTATGAGCTCAAAATACCTCCATACCACTAAAGCTACAATCATTGTGATCTTTAGTTGGTCACTTACCTCTGCCAATGTTTACAGGTTCATATTTTGCTATGAAATTTAGATAAAAAAAAAAAACTTTAAATCTCACACATTTAAAAGTAGGAGATGGAAACTATGTAAATAAGTGATTGCCAATTTACTATTTTGAAACCCAAAACTGAAGGAATTTAGATCATCTCATTTCGCAGTAAATTAAAAAGTCTTTTGGGAAAATGATACCTTAGCGTTGGATGTAGTGGTGAATGAACAACTAATGCCAAACGTGGCCTAAAAAGTTGCCTCCGCTATGAATTGCAAAAAAACATCCTTCCCAAACCCAATTTATTACCAGTCAAATCATATTTGATAATATCACTTGAAGGTTATACCAATAAACGACTAGTTAGTTTGAGTCTAAATTAGACCTATTACATTGGCTTCAAGAAAAATGAATATCAACTCTAATGTAATTTTTGTAATTTTTTTTTTGTATAACAAACATAAATGTGGAAACACCGATAAAGAAGGTGTGAATTGGTTTAAGGAAACAGCCAGATGGTCGATATTTCTTTACAGGTATAATTATATGGACTCAAATAGATTCAAATTGTGGGTTCAACCCAAATAAATATTTTTCGACTTTAGCTCTTTTCCCCATTCCATAATTGATAAATTAAAGTAATCTGACCAACGAACCGGGTCAGTTGCTTTTGAGATAAAGAGCAAAGCGACAACAATTCAGAGCCCTAACAAAACTTCTTCCTTCTTCACATCCACATTGAAACTCAAAAAAGCATTACAGAATGGTAAAGGAAACCGGATCATACTGGCCGGTTGAACCGGTAAAACTGGAAACCAGGGCCTGACAGATACGGTAGTTGTTTTGTAGGTAAAAAATCATTCCGGCCGGATTTCGCGATTAAACCGGTACAATTCAAAAAACAGCCCGATTTTGGTCTAACCAGGGGTAAGCTGATGGGAAGGAAATGGCATCGTTTTGGCATTAGAAAAAAAAATCGACCGAAGCCAATGCTCAAAACCCTAAATCATCAACGACTAAGCACAGTCTTGATTTTTTCATTTCCTGTTGCTGGCGACCAGGACCGCGGCGATCCGCCTCTTCTCGACTGGCGACCAGGACAGCGGCTGCTCCGCGGTTGCTCTGCGGTTGCTAAGGGCTGCTCCGCACTCCGCCTCTACTCCGCCGCTGCTCCACGCTCCGGCACGCGTCTCCCTCCCCTGCTCAAGAAGAACACGGCAACAGGTATGTTTCATAAACAGCTCACTATCTTGAATGGATTGGATGTTTTGACTAATTTTTAATTATAATGCTGAGTATTATTTTTGTTCAATGTTATGCCCTTTATTCTAATGAGAATTTTGGCTGTTTTGACAGCAATGGCCAGTGGAGAAGAAGCCGGATCGGTTGATGAAGGAGCAACTCCTAGTAATCCGAAGGTTACCGCAAAGGGTGTACGAAGCAAAAGTGATCCAACTTGGGCTCATTGTTCCTTGCACCAGGATGGAAAAGTGGAGGTACTCACTTGTCTCTATTGTCAAAAAGAATTTAGAGGCGGAGGAATCACTAGAATGAAAAAACATCTAGCTGGTGTTAGTAGGGATAATGCAATTTGCTCAATGGTTCCGGAAGAGGTGAGCCAAAACATGCAGAAGCTATTGACTAATTATGAAATTAGTAAGAAGAAATCTAAAGTTGTCAAAGTTGGATTTAAAGAACCTCGTGATACAAATTCTTATAGTGCACAAGATGATAATAGTGCTAAAAGAGTTGCTCCTAATGTGTCTACGGGTTCGGTTGACACTTTCTTTGCTCCACGGTCATCTTCCGGTAGTCAACCGCGAATAAAGAGTGCCTTAGAAACTAAAGAAGTTGTATTGTATGTGGATCAAGCATGGGCTAGATGGTTCTATGATGCATGTGTTCCTTTAGAAGCAATTAAATCTCCACAATTTAAAATAGCATTGGATGCTTCTATGACTCTTGGTCCTGGTTATGGTGGTCCTACATATTATACTTTGAGGTTTACTTTGTTGGATAGCATTGTGAATGAATGTCACCTATTGATTGAGAGTTTGAGGTCTCATTGGAAGGAATCTGGATGCACTATTATGGCGGATGGTTGGACGGATAATAGGCGTAGATCCTTAATCAATTTTCTTGTGTATTCTCTTGCTGGAACATGCTTTGTGAAGTCCATTGATGCTTCTGGTTTGGTCAAGAGTGGAAGGAACTTGTTTAAGTTATTTTGTGAGGTCATTGATTGGGTTGGAGTGGAGAATGTTGTTCATGTTGTGACCGATAATGCATCCAACTTTAAATTGGCAGGGATAATGATACATGAGCATTATGGTCATATATATTGTACTCCTTGTGTTGCTCATACCCTTAACTTGATCTTGAGTGACATTGGATCTATTCCTCATGTTAAGAAGCTTGCTTATCGAGCTACCAAGGTCTCCAAATTTGTTTACAATCATGGTCCAATTTATTTCTGGTTGAAGACAAAAGAGAATTGGAAAGAAACAGTGATACCTGGTGCTACTAGATTGCTACTACATTTCTGAGTTTGCAAAGTACTTTTGAGCACATGCATGATTTGGAGGAACTGGTGATTAGTGAGTGCTTTAGAGAAAGTGATCTTTCAAGTACTAAGGATGGAAAGGATGTGAAGGCAATTGTACTCGATCAACAGTTTTGGGCTGATTGTGATTTCATTGTTAAATTGACAGCTCCAATTGTTAAGTTGCTTCGAGTTGTGGATTCAGATAGTAAACCAGCAATGGGGTATGTGTATGATGGGATGACTAGAGTGTCAAATGCTATTAAGACTGTTTGTGGAGATAAGGAGGAGATGTACAAACCAAAAATGGATATCGTTAATATGAGATGGGATAAGCACTTGAGCCGTGATTTGTTTATGGCAGCTCACTATCTTAATCCGGCTATTAAGTATGCTGATGATTGGACGGAGGATAGGGCGGTTACATTTGGACTTCTTAATCTTCTTGAGAACTCGTCTTTATGTCCTGATAATAGTGTGGTGGTGGCGGAGATGAACTTGTATGCTGAAAAGAAAGGAAACTTTGGAAGGAAGATGGCAATAGATTCTCCACAGAAACAACAACCTGGTAATTGATATCATTTGCATTGAAGTTCTTCTATTTATTACAATATTTAAGAAACTAACATTTATGTTTTATATGTAGATAACTGGTGGAAATAGTTTGGCATTAATGCTCCAAATATTCAGAAGTTGGCTATTCGAATTCTTAGCCAAACTGTTGCTTCTTCTGGTTGTGAACGTAATTGGAGAGTCTTTGAACGTGTGCATACCAAAAGAAGAAACAAATTGCAGCATAAAGTGCTTAGTAACTTGGTGCTTGTGAATTGCAACTTGCGATTGCAAAATATGTAATGATTTGAACTATAGAACTTGTGTGTTGAATTCATACTTTCGATGTTTACTATTGAATTGAATTATTTTATGTTTTCTACTTTGGTTAGGGAGTATTATACCAAGAACAAAAAAGATTCATATGATCCCATAAGCCTTGAAAGCATTGATTCTACTGTTACTAGTCACTGGTTGTCAGAAGGGGAAGAAGGTTCGTCTTCTAGGGAAAAGGAATTGGATATTGATGAGCTGGATCGAGCATTGGAAGAGGAAGGTGTGTTTGTAAATCAATTATGTATGATATGAATCCTAATACTAATAATTGATAATAATTCTTACTTGTTTTCTCTTGTATTGTAGTTGGTGATGAAGAAGATGAAGGGGACGACTTGCAGAATGTAGACTTATCTACATTTGGTGTTGTTTGAAGATATGAAACATTGTTTGTGAACGTTGTAGTGCTTGTTAGTTTGAGTTTGTGGTAGTTGTGAACTTGTGGTTTGTGAATGTTGTTTGGTTGTTTTGTACTTTGAATGAAAATGAAGGTTGTTTGGTTTGAGAATGTTGTTTGAACTTGTGGTTTAAAAATGTTGTTTGGTTGTTTTGTACTCGATCGTAAACATGCATTTGAACGATTATGTAGTTAATTCAGTAATGTTGTAGTTTGTTGATTGTTATATTAAATATGCCTATTTAGTTTATTCAGGTTTGTTATCCGGTATATTCTGGTTGTATTCCGGTATTATTCCGAAACGGTATCCTAAATCTGCCAATACGGTTTTTTAACAAAAAAATATTTTTAACTACAAAAACGGTATTTTGTTGATACACAACGATTGAACCACGGTAGTACTACAAAATACCCTACCAGATCCGGTATGACTTCGGTAGAGTTTCCTTTACCATGATTAAAAGGCAACATACTGCTTTGCCCCTCCTGGACGACCAACTAAACAATCATCTCCAAGAGAAGGACCCTTACCACACATCACAGCCCAAAAATACTAAAACAACCGTTCGCCATTTCAATTACCTTCCCCCAAAACAGCAACACTCTGCCTACCGTCAGTTCCCAACCCCTTTACTGCCATTTCTGCTACCACTCTGCCACTGACCCTTCCTCGCAGCTCTGGCCTTCCTCCACCTCTCCTGGTTCCTCATCCTCCCAAAAATCTTCCTCACCTGATACAGCTTGTGAGACTGCCGCGCTATCAAATCCCCTGTCGAGGAACTCTGCCCCAGAACCACCTCGTACCCATCTCGAAAGCTGTCCATGCCTTCCGTCAGCAGCTGCCAGAACAGCCCCCCTGCCGCCGCCCCGCCGCGCTTGGCCGACGCGTATATCTTGTAGTAAACGGCATTGAACAGCTGGTCTCTCCGGTAGGCGGAGAAGCCCGCGTCCTTCCACGACTTGCCGAATTCCGCGATGAGTATAGGCTTTCGAAGGATGTACTGCGCGTCCTGGATGTGGGCGTCGAGCCAGTTGTTCATGAAAGACAGTTGCGATTGATCGTTGGAGTTGGATAGCCTGGATTAATATAATTAGGGAAACAATTAGTAGAGAACCAGTGAAGGGATTTAATGGCCATATTTTGTTTAGTTACCATTGGTCGGGATATGAATGGACTGTCGCAAAATCGATGCCTGAAACCCTGTTGTTGGCGATGAAATCAGTTCCAACTTGAACGGGAGGGTTGACATTCATCCTTTGTGGAGTAGATGGCCCGTAGAACCCTTCTAGACCAGCTTCCAGCAAGTGATTCCTGTCTATTGACTTCACAAACCACGCCATTTCCGTTATCCAAGCCTGTTGTCGTTTGACCAAAATTTCAGAAGGTAAAGTAAGGTGTCACTAGTTAAGTCAGAGAGTGCAGGGGAAAAAGGAAAAATGTGTATAGTAATGAAATCGAGACCCAAAAGCCCAAATTGAAAACGAGATATTGGGATTCTTCCATTCCAACCCGTCAGTCACGGAGAGAATAAAGGGAAAAGCAACAAATTTCACTTTCTTTTTTACTACAGAAAGAAACAAACCTGGATAGTCCTGCCAGAGGAATCCGAAGTGCATCTGGGCTCGTTCATCAGCTCCCACGCCATGATTGTTGGGTCGTCCTTGTACCGAATTCCGGTGAATGTATTCTGCCGGTTGAGAACCGTCTGCAGAAATTGGGCAGACGAAGATCCACGGTCAGTGACTGATTCAAAGTTTAGTACTTTATCCACTTCTGGGTTTCCGAGAGCAGAGTGAATACAGAAACAGAGAACAAAAGAAAGAGTCGCAACAGAGAGAAACAAGTAATTATCTGTTTATATACCCGAATGTGGTTCTTGTAGTAGGTCCTAACAAGAGGGTGAGTGAAGAAATCATCGTCCGATGCAAGGCCGCCGCCCTGAGCTCTGGCCCAGTTAACATACTGCTTCTTCCCACCGAAGCTGTCGTAGTTGTTCGCAAAGCTCAGAATCAGCTTCATCCCGTACCTTCTCGCTTCAGCCACCACAAAATCCAGCCCCTTAGAACAGATAAATCCCCAAGTTTAGAGGCAAAGAGATGGAAATTTAACCCAAAAAGATTTCAATCAAATCACCTGAAACATATCTTGGTTGTAGGCGCCAGGGGCGTACTGGAGAGCCCTGTAACCGCCGTCGCTGAAGGCCCAAGTCCTGGCCACGGTGAGGTCGTGGCTCCTCGCTTCTCGGAAAGCGGCCGACACTTTGGATCTCTGAGTTGGGTCGGCGGCGACGTACATCAACCAGTAGGCATTGAATCCGTTGGCGTAGAAGAGGTCGCCGTTCAGCACGAAATGGGGTCCTCTGGTTTGGATGAAACCGGCTCCCGCCGCTTCCACGCCGCCGTGAGGGCTGAAAAAACACTGGTGGAGCAGAATGGTGAAGAGAAAAGCCAAACCCAAGTTCCTCATCTCTCTCTCTCTCTCTCTCTCTCTCTCTCTCGGGGAATGGGAGGTTTACAATTCCTGGTTCAGAATGGAGGTTTATAGTTAAAAGATAAAACAGAGCACCCTGGACTTTGTGTAATTGTCTTGTATCAACTGCTAAATGTAGGAATTAATTCATTTTCTTCATTTATAAAATGCGGGCCAGGGGAACAAAAGAGGAAACGCTACGAGTTAACAGAGTTTGTGACAAAGAAGAGGGGCGAAAATACAAAAATGGAGAGCCTCAGCAGCAGTTAGCAGGAAAGTTAAAGATGAAAAGGAAGAAAAAGAAGGGGTTTGGTGTCCAGTTCGCACATGGGAATCCACCGATCCATCCTATTTCATGGCGTAATTTGCGAAAATTGTTGAGCATTGTGCGGAGGAAATTTCATGGCTGTGGTGGGCCTGGGACTCCATGGAAGAAAGTGAATGGAGCAAATACCACTGGTAGTCTGGTACTGGCTGGGAAACTCTGTAATGGCGGGTGTTGTCGGTTGGCCAACATTTCACCCGCTAGTAGAGATTGGATTCAGATCATGAGAATAATTATCGTACGGAAAATGACTACATGAGAGTGTCTTCATTGGTGTTTAGATATATAGTTTTAGCCTAAATTCTATTGCTTTTTATAGACATCCAATCCAAGAAAGGTTCCAAATCATGATTGTCACGTCGGCAGGCGTGTCACTAGTTGAATCTGGTTGAACCGGTACCGGTCATAAAACCGGCGTGACATCACCGGTATGAGCGGTATGATCGATATATGAATCTTTAAATAAAACGACCTTATTTTAGTGATTTTAATTGATAAAAATTATTTTATTATTCATTTTATGAGTATAAAAGTTAAATTTTGATGTTATTTGTTGGATTCAAGTATAAATGTTTAGGTATTGACGTTAAATATTATGTTTAAATATGAGTATTTATAATTTTATTTGTAATATTACCCGGCATGCCCAGGCACAAACCGGTATGTGCCACCGATCGAACCATTCCACTTGCTAAACTGACACACTGGCATAAACCAGTTTGACAAACCTTGTTCCAAATCAAAATGTTAACATAACCAAATGCGTCGACCAGTAGTTAAACTGTTGATGAAAGGATTTTTTTAGTTAGTAATTGAACACCTATGGCAAAACAACAGGGAGCGAGGACACAAATGGTAAAATTGACAACCTCCAAATGTCTTCCGAAACAATGCCCGACAAATAACTCGTTGAATCACTAGTTTTGAAACGTCATTATGAATAAACAATAAAAAAAAAAAGTAGGTGTTACACATCAATTCATATCATCAATACGCACGTAAAATTTGCGAAAAAAGCATCAAATCAAACAAGTACTCCACCGCCACCATAAACATCTCTCGTGGATCCATCAAATCGAACCAGTGTCGTCGGACACACTGACTTCACCTGCGAGTTAGTAAATTTATGCATTTAACATGGCACTTGCAAGAAGACATCACCACCACAGAACAATCGAAGGCCAGACCGCCCACGTAGAGAGTCTACATCATATATCTATCATAGACCCAAGGATGGAATTCGTGGGCATGTGACCTGCCTAATCCCTTACGTACCTATCCTCTTCTCTTCCCCTGTTTTTCAGTGATTCATCGACACCATTTTCATTTTTCCTGCTTTTCAACAGGGTAAGTGCCCAAACCATAAAGCATTTTCCCGCACTAAGTGCGCTGCCTGCATGTCGAATTGTCGATAAATTGCTGGCTGGTAAGGCCTTCATTTCAACTGTTACCATTATGGTCTACCTATCAGGTAGTGACAGAGAAATACGAAACATATATCATTCTTACGTTTGGCAATTGCCACCGACGGAGGAGGCATCTCATCTGCGGAGCATAACAAACAAAACAATCCATCCGTAAGGGGACACGTGTCACCGGCCTTATTCTGACACAAGAAGATAGATGGATGCATCCAGATTCCAGAACCAGATCCAGCAGCATTGATTCCACGAACCTGCTGATGTCTCTAAACTCGGCAGAATAAAATATTATTATTTTAGGTCAAATATACTTGTATAGCCAAAACTTTGACGTTCGTGATAATAATAGCCACTTTTGAAGAAATACCAATAATAGGCAAAAATTTGAAAGTTCAATGACAATAATAGCCATTTCCGTTACATAGTTTAACGGTGCAGTGACACCGTTAGTCAAATTAACGGAATGATGATCTGGCTGCCAACTCACCTTTTCTTTCTTTTCCACCTCAGTATTCACTGACAGAAGGACGACATGTCATTTACAAAAGTAAAAAAAAAAACTTTGAAAATGTGTTATCTTTTTTTTATTAATTACATAAATAAACAAAAACAAAAGAGATGAACTCTCCATCTCTTAATCCCTTCTTCATCTTCTCTGATCCAACTCCCTGCCTCTAATTTTATCGATCGACGAACCAAGCGACTGGCAAACCCTGCTTCTCCAGATCTGGTATGTCTTCTCTGGTTCTTGTTCTCCGACGAACGAAACCCAGCCACAGACAAGCTGAAAACGACCACAACCAGAACTTTTACCTTCAACATCCTGCCGCTTCTGTTCTCAAGTCCTAAGAGAAATGGGGAAATCAAAATAGAGAGCGAAGGAGAAGAAGAAACCACCGCCCCCGCCTCCGCTGTTCCTCGCCATCCACGTCGTCGCAGCTCAGCGTCGTCCCTACATGAAACATCACATCCGACGAACCACTTTCCTCTTTTGCCTTCCGCCGGCACCGCTAGTCGCTTCCCCAACGTCGCCCCTTCGTCCGCGTCTCCTCCGACGAATCACCTTCCTCTTATGCCTACCGTCGTTGCCGCTAGCCGCTTCTAGTTTCACAGATCTTGAACAGCTCCAGCCATCGGAAGCAAATCGACGTGGACTGATCTCCCTCTTCATTGTCGTTGACTCCAAAATCGAGACCGGCTCCACGATTTCTTCAAATCCTTTCATTCAACAATTCCGCCACCGCTCGAATGACCTGGGATTGGACCTGGAAACCCAGTGTTCGCCTCTCCCTCACTAAAAAATTGGGAAGATTTGAAGAGGAAACTCAAATCGTGGACAAAAATTAGGGTGATTGGAGTTGGGGATTTTAATGGCGGTGATAAAATTGGCCAAGGAAGAGTGGATTAAAGAGGTGAAGGGAGCGGCAAATGGAAAAAGAAGCTGGACAAAGTGGGTCGAGAAACCTGGGAACCCAAAATTGAAAACCCCATTTTAGTTGATCGATTGGTTCTCAATAAAGAGATAATTGTTTTTATAATTTTTTTTATTAATTTGATTATTGTTTTTCCTCAAAACAAAAGGGGAAAGGTTTTATTGTTTTCGTGAAAACCCCAATTTATTAATTTGATTATTGTTTTTTCCACCTAACATTATTTTTGAATAAAATATGCCACGTCGGCCTCTGTTGTTAGTCCAGTCAGCACGTTAACTAACACCGTCAAACAATTGGACGGAAGTGGCTATTTCTGGTATTTGCCAAAAGTGGCTATATTTGGCAAAAACGTCAAAGTTTTGGCTATACAGGTGTATTTGGCCTTAAATGGCTGTATTTGACAAAAACGTCAAAGTAAGCACTATAGGGTTACTGAACTTGAAAACTATTTCTTGGTGGGCTCTCGTGCTCGGCTTTGGGTTCATTCATAACAGGCCGGCTACCTTGGCCCAACAGGCTCCCCAGATCATGCCCCAGGAACAAATGCAGGACTTTTGGGCTTCGGCCTAACTAAAGGGAAGGGGCACTTGTGAGGGAGGCAAGTGGTTCCTTCAACTAATAGGTAATTTATTAGGTGCTCCTACACCTGGCAAATCCGGATCCGACCAATTGACCTGACCCAAACCCGTCCAAAAAATAAAATATGGATTGAGGTTTTTATATCCCGAAATTCGAATGACCCGAACCCAATTAACTCGTAGTTTTTGGATTGGGTTGGGTTGGTTTGTGGGTCGACCCGCTAGACCCGTTCCATCATTGCATATGTCACTCTCAAAATGATAAAAATCACTCATAAATTGGTGAAATGTTTAAAAAAAAATCATAATGACTTGAAATACAAGTTTTGGGGTGCAAAGATAATCAAACATCATTTGTTTATTGTAGTAGTATTACTTTCGTGATTTTTTTTATTTTACGATTTGTGAGTTCGTATTTCTTTTCATTAGCAAGGAAGGAGTTTTGAGAATTTGTTAATTGACATGTGCTAGGTAAACTAGTGTCACACATATGTAAAAATTTGTATTCTTTAAAAATTTATAAATCATATTTGATATTGTTTCTGAGAACACTCATAAACCGAAATCAGCCAACCCAACATGACAACCCGTAAACCGATATACCCAACCCGAAATTATCCAACCCGACCCGATTGCCAAGTCTAGGTGCTCTTTTAGACTCCAAATGAGCCAAACTGCTCACGAGCGGCTTAACATTCCGTTCAGGAAAAATTCATTCGACACTTTGCTTGTTTGTTAACGAGCCGAGATTTAGTTAATCCTTGTTCGGCTCGCAAGGTTAAACTCCTAAGCCAACTTGACTCAGTAGCTTGTTGAACTCAACTCGTAAACTAGCTCGTATGGAGCTATAAGTTGGCTTGACGGTATGACTAGCGAGCCACCACAATTAACAACTTATGAATGAATCTATTAATAGGTTGCCTTGTTGGTATCTCATAGGGTTTTTAGAATATATATCTCCCGGTATATGTTGTTTACGAATTTCAACACGTGATTAATGTTTCATTTATAATATTAAATAAAAATGATGTATCATAGATTACTCATGACTAATTACTATTAAATTACATCCCTTGAACAGCTAGAGCCAATCTGGCAAGCTGATTGATGAGAGCTTGAGAAGAGCTCGTGCGTTCATTGATAAGTTCATAAGTCGAGCTCGTGTCGAGCACAAGCCAAGGTTCTAGTAAACAAGTCCAGTTCGGACTCGGCTCGTTTATTAACGAGTCAAACTCAAAATAGGTCAAAACTCGGCTCGACTCGCCTCATTTGCAACTCTAGCTCCTGTGCATATTACCTCCTTATTAAAATAATATTTTTGTTCATTTCAAACAGAAAGAGGAGACTCAGCAAAAAAAAAAACAAAATCATATTCCTCCAACCTTTAAGACAAAACTGTTCCCCTGGCAAAGTTGAACAATTATATTCTTGCATCTTTCACTTACATTACATTCCGAGAGGATGAAGATGTGGAGGAAGTGGCTGCCCGATCACAACGCTCGAATTTGTCCGCCATACCCGTAGTGCTTCAGTAGGCCCTCATCTTGCCGCCAATTCTCTTTCACTTTCACCTCGATCTATAACAACAGTCAAACGCCCATGTCAGTAACTCATTGTAAAGTTGGTGGGAACTGGGAAAAAAGAAAACCCAGTCCAGTCAAAGAATCATAGGTTTGCACCTCAAGGTAGACTTTTTTCTGCAGGAAATCTTCAATGTCAAGTCTAGCTGCTGTTGCTAGTAATTTCATGGCCTTTCCATCCTGCATTTACACAGCCTTCCAAACATCAGCTTCATCACAGAATGCAGTTAATATTTTTTTATATATAAAAGAAACACCCTCTTAACACAATCCATCATCAAGACAACACTCACCCTGCCAAGCATTATGATCTTCTGGGAGTTCTTCTCAACAATGATCTCCACCTGCATAAAATCTTTTGCTCCTGGCCTAGCTTTATAGCTAACCACATTTACCTGAAGGTATCAAAAACATACTTTAGCAACATATTCCATCATCTACGATTTGAATCATACAAGTCGCAGAGTCAAATAACATTACAGCACACCTGACTTGCATAAGGAACTTCATTGCGGAATTGCATAAAGATCTTTTCTCTTACTATTTCTGCAATAAAGAATCTTTCCGGGTGCTCGCTAATGATGTCCTGCAAAATCAGCAGCAACTAAAAGGTAAGAGATGGAAGATATATGCAGGAATAAGTTCAAAGAGGGCAGGCAATCACTCGAATTGGCAGGAAAAAAGTGAAATTATTCCTTGAGGGTACTACACTGAGGGAAAAAATAGAGGCAGATGCAGCAATATGCTAAAATAAGATGGCACCAGATACTATAACAAAGATGGATGACCTTTGGATAGTAAGCAGGCCCCTTTGGAAGTTTGGATAGTATCCATTCCTTGATATCTTCCACCCCATGACCATATTTTGCACTGACAGGAATAACCTCATCGACATTGGTATGTTTCTCGTACCACTGCACAGATTTCACTTTGTTTCAGTTATCATATTCATACCAATAGCATGTAACATACAATTTCCTAAACACACCAATTAAAGATAACTGGGGCTGCTAGTAACCAAATGTGAGAGTTCCAACCTGAAGCTTCTTTGCAACTTCACCAGGTTTTATGAGGTCTTTTTTGTTCAGCACCAGCAGGATAGGCACATTGTCTCTTAGACTACCAGCACCTTCGTCTTCAAACACCTCATCAATCTGGATCAGGGGATCCTAACTTTAGTAAACCTAGAACCACTTTTAAGAGTCTTTAACAACCAGGAATTTCTAATTACCGTTTCTGGCATTTTGCTTGCATCAACGATAACTAGTACACAGTCTGCGTTAACTGCTGCACTCCGAACATTCTTCATCATCATGGTATCCAGCTTGTGCATTTTCCTCTCGATCACACCCGGTGTGTCGTAGAGTACCATCTGCAGAAAACCCCTTTATATCAGATGAAGAACACAAAGCTCAAGCATCTTGCATCCTCTTATCTTATCTTATCTACATTATGGACTTGTTCATTTATTATTGTACGTAACCCAATTGATATGGGAATCTTTTGCTCAATGATGCTAAACCTCTAGGTGAATCGAATGAAGTGCATCAAACCAACAAAGAAGCAACTAATAACAGAACTCCAAAAATCAAACCTGGTAGTCTGGGCCAGAACTTATACCAAGAATTCGATGCCTGGTAGTCTGAGGCTTATCCGTAACTATAGACAACTTCTGCCCTATCATTTGGTTAGACAATGTGCTCTTTCCAACATTCGGTTTACCAACCACAGCAACATATCCTGCACTTTCACCATCAACTATCACAAAGGACCGTCCAAAATTAGAAATGTGATAGCAAATTAGAGAGCAAGAACTAACCACTTCGATGGTTAGGGTCAGCGGAGTAGTCGAGTTCTTCCATCTCGTAGTCGTCAAGCAAAGCCATGCTTCTGTTAGGCTTCACGCTGAGCGACAGCAAACGCGAATCTTCCTCGCTAACTTCTTCATCTTCATCTTCCTCTTCATAGTCAGCTTCGTCGATTTGAATTTCGTCGATCAAAAGCTGATGTTTCCTCGAGAAGGCAAGTGGCGGGCTACTTCTTCTCTGCTCGGTGTTGGAACCGCTTGTGGCACTGTATCGAAATTGAGTGGCTTTCCTCGCGCTGAAATGGCGGGTTAAAGTGAGGCTGGAATGCGTCGCGACCGTGAACCTATCCCCGGGGAAAGCAGCCGAGAGATTCGAAGCTAGCTCCATTTACTGGAGCTCGTCTCTTCGCTCTTTTTTTTTTTTCCAGCTTTCACACGGCTATAGCCTATAGATTAGAGTGGATAAACTTCTTCTCCGTTCAACTTCCTTCTCGTTGTTTAGCCACGGACACGGAGGCACGTCCAGAAAACTCATCAAACTGTCAAACTCAAAACGCACCGTTTCACGTACCTATTCCGTCTTGAGCAAGGTTGTCAACCCCGTTTAGCTTGTTGACCCGATCCAGCTAATGGATCAAGGATTATTGGGCTGATCGTTTTAACACAATTTAGCCCGATTTAACCAAGATATATGAAAAAATCATACATTATACATATATAAATTACATCAAAACCTTCTAACTTGTACATAATAACATATAATTTATACCAAAATAATAATTCATGCTTAAATCCAATCCACTATGATAAAATTTCAGCCACACTTAAATCTAACATAATAAAATTTCAATTGTTCTTTTGGGAGAACAACTACCAATTCAATTGCACTATTAATTCCTTTCACTTGTGGGTAAATTCCCAAAATATTGTGTTTTTTTTAATTTACCACCAATATGGTGGTTACAAATTTATTTACACAAAAATTGTTTTTTTTAGGGGAAGGGAGCGCGACTCCGCGTGAGACTCAATATAAGCAGTTTAAAATGTGAACCTGCGCCAGACTGCTTCGAATGCGCGTAATAAAACATATCACCTCATTCTCATGCGAATCGCATCGCATCGCTCTCTCTTATCTTATCCTTTCTACCCCCAACCCTCTGCAGCAGCACCACCACAAACCCCCTCCGCCCCCGCCGCACAAGCTTCTCGCCCAAACCTCGCGCGGGTCCGCCTTCCAGCCTGTATTTCCGCACTCATCTCCTGCAATACCGCCGTCCCGAGCACAGATTCCTCCTGACTCACGCGGAAGTGAAGAAATTAGATATGGTTTTGGATGTCAGATTCCGACGAAGAACTGGCGGCAGCCAGAGGAAGAGGTCGTGGAAGAGGACGGCATGCATGCGGCCGGTACCGAGGTGAGTGATTTCACCGGACTGAAACTCGCCGGCGGCGACTTTTGTTTGCTTCTGAATTTTTTTATTTTTTTTGCAGTTCCTAGATTTTTGGACACTTATTCCATGAGACGACCGCCTACTACAATTGATCCAGCTCCAGTCGATTCAGTACTTCTTTGGGCACATGGTCAACATCGTGTCGATTCAGTTTGGCAAAACGAGGTAAGTATTTCATTAAATTTCATTAGCTAGTTACATTAGATGTTTAGATTTTTACTAGGTGAACTTAAATTAGAATTGCATGTGAATTTTCTTGAAATTAGTATTAGTTTTGATTAGATAGATTTTACTAGATTAGATAGATTTTAATAGGTGAATTGAAAATAAAATTATGCATGAAATTGAATTAATATAAATTTTGTGCACTATAGGTTGGTGATCGCTTTTACCAGATTCGAGGTACAACCCATTTGGTCACGTACCTTCCACGTTATGAGCCGTATCTCCAGGAGGCAGGTTTGTTTAGTATTCAACAGTTAGTCCCTATGACTGCTGATGCATCTTTGATCACTGCTTTCGTAGAGCGTTGGCGACCTGAGATGTCGACCTTCCGTATGCCACTTGGTGAGGTTACTATCACTCTAGAGGATGTTGCCACACTGAGCGGTCTACCGATCGACGGTGAGGCCGTCATAGTAGACCTGCCAAATGAGGAGTGGTCGGCGACATGTATGAGACTGTTAGGACATGCTCCTACTGATCATTCCGGCGGTGTCGTTAGGATTAGTTGGCTCAGGGATGAATTCAATCATCTGCCGCCAAATGCATCATCAGAGATTACCGGGAAGTTTGCACGAGCTTATGCCCTATCTCTGATGGGGGGTATATTGTTCCCCAACCAGACTGGATCTACAGTTCATCTACAGTATCTACTCATGTTGGAGAATTGGCCAAGAGCTGGAGCGTTCGCTTGGGGATCAGCTGTTTTAGCCTACCTGTACCGTGATATGGGTAGGTCGGTTCTGCAGATGGCGCAGGCCTCTTCCACAGGAGGTGGCCTTGGTGGTTAGGTCTCCTTACTGCAGCTCTGGGCATGGGAGCGATTTCCACAGATAGCACCACCACATACAGTGACAGATGAGCCTATTACAAGGGACGCAGACCCACCTGCTGCTCGATGGCTTCTAGCCATGTCCCGTCAGCATGGTGACCAGTTCATCAGTTATAAGTTGTTTTTTGACGAGTTGTTGACAATTGTGGTTGGTATATAACATTTCATACAAGAATAGTTTTCATTAGTTTGTTTTAGATTAAAGAGTAATCATGTGACCACTTGTTGTGTGTAGTGGCTGCCTTACTGGGAGAGAGGCAATCAGTTCAGGGGTACTGTGATCAAGTCAGATACATTTTGAGCAGTAGTGCCACGGATCTGCTTTTCAGTAGTGACGTGGCACCATCCAGATCGCGTACTCCAACAATTTGGCATGATGCAGAATGAGCCTCATCTGCCAGCTCCTAAGGCTGAGATTAGGTATTTCCATCACCAGACAGTTCGTGGGTCATCACGTGGGCAGCGCTTGATACGCGCCTCAAGAGAGTCGCTTGATTTGTGGAGTCGTCGACATCAATATATAGCGACTATGCCATATAGTCAGGATACTTTAGCCTACCACTCGGAGCATCTGGAGTGGTATCAAGATGTTACCAGACGTGCAGTCACACGGAGAGTAGTAGGAGTGAACACAGTGGTTAGTTATTTATTGTTTCAAAAAAAATTATTTGTTCGAAAATTCATAGTTGTGTGGAATCTTTGATACTTTAAATCTAATTTTCAGTATGACACCATGGAGTACGCTGAGCTGAGGTTACGGGGTGGAGGGTTTCCCGCCGACAAGTGTATGGAGTTGGCCGACATGATGGTGGCAGGGGTTGCTGCTATGGTTTGGAATCCCGTCGGCATCCTGATGTGACAGTACCTGTATAGTGGCACCCATCTGAGAGCAGCCTTGCCAGTTGGCCAGAGCATACAGATCCGAGACATGACTGGGACGTGCGAAGCCCACAGTTCACGCAGGAGCCTAGGAGGCGTAGACAGCGACGTGAGCAGCGCGACATACCTCACCTAGTGCGGATTTTAGATCATCGGCGTGCATAGCTCGTCAGATCTACTACGGCCTCGACTTACTTATGTAGTTTCAGCCGGTCACTTCTTCGGGCTTTCAGCCTTCTTAGACGCAGTTTCATATAGGGAGCGCCTTCTTCAGCATTTCATCAGCCCTCTCAAACACAGCCACAACATGTTATGATGGGTGGAGGATACACGGTCTCAGGTAGTGATACTAGAGCAATCTCACCCTATAGATGGAGAGACACCCTAGATGGGGACGATACTTTTATGGAGGCGATGTGGCACCATGAGCAGCAGCTTCGGGAGCAGGGGTTTACCACAGGTGCACCAGATGAGCATCCCCAGTCAAAGGTAGATGGTTTGTTCGGTACACAAGATCAGGATGACATAGTGGAGAGAGATCAGACCTAGCACGATGAGGGCAGGCCTGTACGGAATAGGCAGGAACCGTTGTGTGGTACTGGCGGTCATCTAGTGGATCATCGTGGTGGTGGTCGTCGTGGTGGTGGTTAGTGCTACTATTATGTATGATCTTATTATTATGTATTATTGGATGTATTATTATGTACTATTGTGGACTATTTATCATGTCATGATGTAAAATTATGTATTATAGTGGACTATTTATCATGTCATGATGTACTATGTTACTATTATTGTCATGTATGGTGCCATTGTCTAAAATGAAAACTTGAACTATAGAAACAACAAATACACGGGGCATGGCTTCGAAAGTTCCAAAACCCAATTGGCATACTCGATCGTTCAAACCATAACAACATCAACCAATAACAACTACTTCGAAAAACAAGAACTATTACATTTGATAAATGTTCAACCAAACTACATACCACGTCTATTACCACTACTTCCTCTTCTACCACCTCTCACACGTCTACCACTTCCTCTTCGCTGGCTCTCACTACCACTTGCTCCTCCACCAGAAGTTGATGCATCATGTCCAACTACTTCCTCTCTTGGCCAATCCATCTCGTTGTGAATTCTTCTTGTTCATGGCCTCCCCAACTTCCTAATCATGTGCACATTAGGATGGGGAGTAGAGCCATTGTGCTTCTTCCAACCCTTAGGTTCACCAAGATGTGTGAAACTTGTCCCATAACAAGCCAGTACTGTTTAAATCTTATAGATGTCGTTTACAAACCCATACGGGTTAGCCCCCATTCGGTTGCAAGCTGCAATGGTATGAGAGCAAGAAATTTTATTTCCTTGGAATTTCCCACAAGTGCAAAATCCCGCCCGATTGTGGTCGTCGAAATTCACTGTGAGTATGTTCGAACCCGTCATGTTGTAATTGTTGGGAGGAATCTGAACTACATAGATGCCTGACGTCGATTAACCCCTGTCACGGAATGTCCAACAGCCTTTTGTGCCCACGGCTTCATCAGTTCTTCGCATGGTTTCGTGTACTGTGACTGCCCACTTCTGATTTGTGCTTCTGTCTCCAACCTCATCTTATCGAATTTCTCCAATAATAGCTAATAAGTATGTTGCTCAAGAGAAACTATAGGAAGTGAACGAATACCTTTGAAAATACCATTGATGCTCTCTCCCATGTTGGTTGTCAACATAGACCATCGACGCCCACCATTATAGTTATCATGTGCTAAGCTCCAACAAAGTTGATTTTGATCCACCCAGTCATCACAAGAAATATTTCTATTTGCGACCATCTTCTTAAATTGCTCAACTTGAGGATCAAACTTCTCCAAGCGTTTTTCTCGGGCTAACAAAACAAATAACCACACGAGTTAGATAAATTAATGACAGTATTAAATGAAAATCAATAATACATAAAAATCAATAACAATAACGATGAAGAAGGCTTACCGACTCGAAACAGTTGGTTATACGTAATTTTGATTTTTGTCTTCCTTTGCAAGTTGCTTGCATAGTGTCGCATGCACCATCTCCACTCCCAACCTCTTCTGATGTTACTCATGGCTTCATAGAGTCCCACATGCCTATCTGAGATGATGCAGACATCGTTTTGATAGGTCAAATCTTGAATGTGTCTTATGAAC